CCTCTGTCTGCTCTTGCAGACAACCCTACCAGCCACACAATCACCACACACCAGGTTGTAGAACCTCTTCTTTCTGTCCTTGCTTCCCTGGGAAGTTTTCCCATTGGCACCTCTGGCTGAGACCACTCTCCAGGGTTCAGGCCCATCTTTCCAGTGTGATCTGCTGGGTAGCTCCCCCTTGAAGTCCAGCCAGCACCCCAGACTGAACGTGTCTTAACTCATACTGCCCCCACCTCTTCTGAGCTGCTCCTTGTTTCAGCGGTTCCTGGCACCACTCTTCTCTGGTCGGTCAGTGTCAGTGCCTAGTGGTCTCCTTGAGTTCCTCTTTTCCCAGCTCCTCCTGTGACTCGCCAAAACCCTTTCCTTTCTCCATGTCCATGGCCCTGTTTTAAACCCTTCACTTTTGCAGCAGCCTCCATACTTAACCCCTTACCTTCCTTCTAAAGAAATAAATCCTTAAAACTCAAGGGAATGAAACAATTGAAGCATGAACAGGTCTAAACGCTGCCGTGGAATAAGGAAGAAAATTGGCTTCTAGCCTTGGCATTTAAGGGTTAAGTGACTGTGGTGCAAACAGACTTGAGTGGAGGGAGCTGAAGTCAGGTGTCAGAGGTGCTGAGAGGATGAGAGGGGGCAGATAAGACACAGAGTGGGGGCCACTACAACAAGAGTTTTCTGGTGAAGGGAAGGAGGAAGACAAGCCAGGAGGTAGGGAAATATTTTTTCTATAGGATGAGAGAGACTCATACCACCTCTATTTTTTTTCTATGAAGTTGAAAAAAAAAAAAAAAAAATCAAGGGAGTGTTGTTTTTTTAATCATCGCAGGCCCAGGACAATATCCCTCCCTTGGTCTTCACCATCTTGGTAAATGGCAGCTGTGTTTCTCTAGCTACTCAGACCAAAATCCTTGGGTCATGCTCTCTGACGCCTCTTTGTGTCTCACGCTCTGCCTCCATTTTGTCAGTGCGGTCATCTGTACCTTGCAGACTGTCTAGAGGCCACCACCCTGGCCCAGCTCTCCAGCATCCTCCACTAGTACGTTGCAGAGGCCTTTCACCTGCCTCCCTGCTTCGGCCCTTGACCCGCTTCAGTCTCTTCTTCAGGCACCAACCAAAGGAACTCATACTCACAACTCCCTGGGAGCTTCCCATCACACTCAGATGAAATCCACAGTCCTTAACTGCCCTTTGAGGCTTGTGACTCAATGTGACTTATTGTTA